GGTCAGTAACTGAGGGAAAAAGAAACAGCGCTTTTAAGTTCGGTGCTGTTCATGGAGTGGAGCTGTTAACAGACTGAACAAATATCGAGTGTTTCTGCCCAAGGGAAAATAATCCTCAAACGAGCAGTGTAACCTGTTAAAATACCCATTAAAATTCTCTTCCACGATAGTTTCCTGCACCTAAGAGTACCAACCCTTCCAATTTCCAAAACACAACTTATTTTTTCACGGTGTTTGTCTGTTTGTTTTTCAGATTCCCTCTGAAGGATTCAAAGCGTCTGATTCAGTGGTTAAAAGCTGTTCAGAGAGATAACTGGACTCCTACCAAGTATTCATTTCTTTGCAGCGAGCATTTCACCAAAGACAGTTTTTCTAAGCGGCTGGAAGACCAGCACCGGTTGCTGAAACCTACTGCTGTCCCTACTATCTTCCAGCTTGCAGAGAAAAAACACGACAACCTGGATTATGTCAGAAGCAGAAGAAAAATAGCGAGCCAGGTGCCACTGCAGGATGGAGAAGACCCAAGGGAAGGAGGCTGTGAGGTAGTTCAGAAGACTCCGTCTTCTGGCCAGGACTTAATGGTGATGCAAGGGACAAAAGAGATGGAGGAGGCGACTTTGCAAGCGGAAACCAGATCGATGTCTGAGGAGGAGGGGAACCTCCGCGGCCAGCTGGACATCCCTCGGAGAAGGACGTTAGGTGATAATTCGGTTGTAAAGCCTGGACCTCAGAAAAAACCTGAGAGATCTTCCGTAGAGGATTATTCTAAAGCCACCTGGACAGGGAGCTGGGTAGCAGACAGAAGTGGTGTGTCGGTTGATGACTTCACGCCTCCTGCCTCTGGTGCTTGCAAGTTCATCGGCTCCCTTCATTCTTACAGCTTTTCATCTAAGCATGCCAGAGAGAGGCCATCCTTCTCAAAAGAGCAGTTGGAAAGGAAAAGGCCAAAGAGAGATGTGGAACCAAGCTGCAGCAGCCATCTTACAGGACACGATAAGGCCGTAGCAGAAGGCTCCCCTACTTCATCCCTCACCGCGACCCCTCAGAAACCTTCCCAGGGTTTGTCGGCATCCCCAGCGGACCTTACCCCTCAGCCTGCTGCTGAGGCTGTGGTGGGGCGAAAGGGTGACACGGACGCCAACCCTATGTCAATCAACGAGGTCATCATGTCGGCCTCGGGAGCTTGCAAGCTCATCGACTCCCTCCACTCGTACTGTTTCTCCTCCAGACAGAGCAAAAGTCAGGTGTGCTGCTTACGTGAGCAGGTAGAAAAGAAGAATGGAGAGTTGAAACTTTTGAGGCAGCGGATCAGTCGCTCTGACAGTCAAGTCAGGAAGCTGAAGGAGAAGCTAGATGAGCTGAAGAGGATCAGTTTCCCTTATTTGAACAGCCTGCTATCCCAGGACTGTGGTCAGTATTCCCAGTGGCTTTGCCTTGAGGCAGAATTCACCATTTTCTTAGCAATAAGAGGCTGTTTAAATTAGAAGTTGTAAAGATGTGATGGGTAAAAGAGATGAGAAAGGTACATGTTTGGAAGGAGAAGTAGTAGCTTGTGTTAAAAGCAACATGTAGAGGTGAGAGAACTAGAGTTTTGGCCACGTGATCTATTTGTTATATCCCAAAAGTTTCTGAGTCGATTCCTGGTGTGGAATGGGAAGTTAGGTTGTGGTGTTGGAGTCAACTCTCTTGATTTTTATTTTATTTTTTTTTTTCTTCTTTCTGGATTATTTTAACTTGTTTGTGACTCAGTAGCACCTGGTAGGATTTGCTTTCCTTTGGAGAGTGCCTGTGATTTTTTTTTTTGGTGTGTTAATGAGCTGTCATGGGCAGCAGGTATCTGGGATAGCTGTGGTCTTCTCCAGTGATGTAAGAAGAACTTCCGATCTTAGATTTTACACGCTGTACTCAGTGCTCTGGATATTTGAAATCTAAGTGAGATGGTAGGGATCAAATGTGACAATGTGAGGTCACTTCATGACTTTTCATGTCTGTGTTTGGTTTGATAATTTCCTCCCTCAGAAGGCAGAAGTAGTCAGGAAACAGGTAATAAAGTGTGAAGAGATGGAGAATAACTTCTCTATCAATTAAAAAAAAAAAATTGAGACACCTGAAAACGTAGGGGGACTCCGTGAGGGATGAGGTTGTGTAAAAAGGTTGTTGTGGAGAAGTCAAATTGGGCCATAACCCTCTGTCTTGCAAGAAAAAGAGTATTTTAATATAAAGTTGGTAAAACTTTTGCACTATGACTTCGGTTGCAAGATGCAGTTCAAGGGAAGAGTGTAGGAACATCTAATGAGGTTTGATGTTTGTGTGGCTGCTGAGAAAATGTTGGGTTGCCTTGTGAAGGATGCATGACTTGGGCTTTCTTGAAGAAGCAGCCACCCATGGTGGCTCAGTATCCCATGATGGTTATTCTCTCATCTCTTCTTCTTTAGGAGAAGAAACCTCATGGCTTCTTCTAAAGCCATGTAGTATTAGACGTGGTCAGAAATGTGATATTGGTGTAGGCAGACAAGTTCTCCAGACTATTATAGTGTGGCCTGCTTCCTCATTCAAGTGCAAGAAAATAACACCCAACAAAATTCTTGAAGGTTGACACCCAATGCTATTTCTCCCACATGTTTTTAATTTTCAAAAATTAGGAAAACTCACACTTTGATTTGAGTAGAGGCAGGAAAAAATTCTTTTCAACAAATAACATGGTCTTATTTGTACCTTCTGGTCTGTATTTTTGTGTTGTTTTGGTGTCAAACTAAAGAAGATAATTAAATACAACGTTAGGGTTCCATAATTTTCACTTACATGTATGTATATATGAAAAAAGGTGTCCAGCTTTGTTGGAATACCTTAAATGAGATACTAAATGCAAAAAGAGTGTCCTGAAGGGTGTTTTTTATTTATTCTAGTAAGCACTGTGGTTTTTCTTTTCTTTCTTGAGATGGATGTTCTTGTACATGCATCTCTGAGAACGTGAGAATTATATATTAAGAATGTCTTCTATAAGAACGTAAGAATGAGGTATTCTGTTTTCTAAGGGAAAAATGTAGATTTTCTTAATGAATTGACCAACTTGCTACATGTTCTGCCATCTCTTATCTACAAAACTGGAGATAAGTATGTGGAAAAGGATCATTTCAACGATTCCAGCTCAGTGCTATGGGAAGTTTTTATGGAACCATTTGGCTAGTCATTTTTTTTAAAGGGTTTGCTGGGGGCTAGATGGCTTTTTTTTTTTTTTTTTTAGTTTGTGCTCACAGTAGTAGTATAAGGCAATGAAAATACCTGATTAAGTTTAGCTGACTGGTCTGGTTTATGCCAAGACACTAAGTTTTACTGTAATACAAAGCTGAATTGAAGAAAAGCTTTTTGGTATTCATTAAAACACAGTCAGATAACATGTAAGGTAATAATAATTATAGCCTTTGTTAGGAGCTACATTTCAGTTGTCCTAAATCATCTGATGTGGAGTTGAGGTGATGTTATTAGCTGTGAACCTGAGCCTGCATATTTTTTTATTCTAAAGGCAGTGCCTTGGGGACGGGGAGTGTAAGTAGAGTAACTGACTGGACTGGCGGTACAGGTGGTTACGCGTCTGCATCCCAGCTCCATGCACTGCAGGACCTCTCTTTGCTGTTGCCTCACGTTCAGCTGCTTCCACGACATCGCGAGCAGAAAAATGAGCTTTAGGCCTGCACCTGTTAATCAGATCGGCAGCGTGCGCTCACAGCCCAGAGGCCAATAACCGTGTCCTGGGCTGCATCCAGAGCAGCGTGGGCAGCAGGTCGAGGGAGGGGATTCTGCCCCTCTGCTCTGCTTTCCTGAGACCCCACCTGCAGTGCTGCCTCCAGTTCTGGGGCCACCAACCTCAGAAGGACATGGACCTACTGGAGTGAGTCCAGAGGAGGCCACGAGGATGATGTGAGGGCTGGAGCACCTCTGCTGTGAGGACAGGCTGAGAGAGTTTGGGCTGTTCAGCCTGGAGAAGAGAAGGCTCTGGGGAGACCTTCCAGCGGCCTCCCAGTACCTGAAGGGGCTCCAGGAAGGCTGGGGAGGGACTTGTGACAAGGGCAGGGAGTGACAGAACAAGGGGTGATGGCTTGAAACTGGAAGAGGGGAGATTGAGATGAGATGTGAGGAAGAAATTGTTTGCTGTGAGGGTGGTGAGACACTGGCCCACGTTGCCCAGAGAAGCTGTGGCTGCTCCTCCCTGGAAGTGTTGAAGGCCAGGTTGGATGAGGCTTTGAGCAGCCTGGTCTAGTGGAAGGTGTCCCTGCTGATGGCAGGGGGGTTGGAACTGGATGAGCTTTAAGGTCCCTTCCAACCCAGACCAGTCTGTGATTCTGTGATCTTCACCTTGGTGCTAGTTCTCAACTGAGATTTTCTTCCAGCGAGACAAATAAATTTTTTCTGGCTGTATCTGAATGACAGCCGGCTGGAAAGAGCAGGTTTCTGCAAAGCTGCTGCACAGGCTGTCCCTGCCAGCCACACTTGAGGATCGGTGACTCAGGCTGGGTGAGTTTGGCTCACAGTGTGCTCACACTGTCATGGTGCTCATGCCTGAGCAGCATTTCCCAACCTGTCTTATCAGAGGGATCGACTGACTGGTTTTAGGAGAAGCCCTGGGCTGTTTCCTGCTCAGCTGCCACAGTGATCTTTTCCATGTGAAACTTTGAATTTGCTCACTTGTGTGGTAGGAAAATGTTTCCTTCTGTTTTGTGGGCTGCTTCTGAGGTCCATGGACCATACTTCCAGCAGAGGAATGTGCTTAGGTGCAGTGTGCCAGGCAGAATGGGGTTAGATGCATCTTTTGGAGAACAACAGGATGTGCTGGGAGAAATTGGGGAGAGCCAGCGAGCAAATCTGGATCCAGTGTCCTGGAGAAGGCGAGACTATTTTAACACCACTGTCCTCTGATACCCAAGTACTATCTGACCATCTTGTGCTGCTTGAAGATTTCGCAGCTCTGCTGCATCGTACTCCCCGAGTTCTAGCACAGACAGGAGATCCAAGATGTTCCTTTCACAAGATCACCTTGTCTTAATGCCCTCAAGTTTGGCCCTTTTGGAAAACTACATCTCCCAGCAGGCACTAGGATAACTGTTTTACCTAATTGTGAGCTCACTTCCCTTATAGCCAGCCATCTTCTCACCCTGCGCAAAACACCTTCTGGTGAGTGAAGGTGGTTAGAGAACTAGACCAAGCAATAGGAAAATAACTCTGCAAACTATGGCTGGCAGTGGAGCAAACGCAGGTATGATTCCACGGGATTCAGGTGTCTGTATTGATCAGAAAGGCTGTTTGAGCACATGTGGAACCTCTTCCACGCTGCATATCTGCTTTCATGAAGGTCATATTAAAGGCAGGAGAGTTTGCAAAATGACTCTGTGTGAAAATGGTTAGAATTTTGCTAGGAATCTGTAGGAAACCATATTTCCTTCCAAGTTAGATTTGTCTTTAAATATTTGTACAAAGCTAGCATAGAAATAACATAATTTATAATTATTTCTATACACAAATGAAGCATAGTTGGTGAACTTTGGGGACCAGCAGGAGGACTCAAACATTGAATGTCTAGTTTTGTGCTGAGATGGAGTCTTGATACCTGGCCTGTGAACTTTGAGGTGTTGTTTCCCATCAAGGTGGCAACAGGTTTTCGTTTGTGTTGCAGAAAACAAATAGCAAATCAAGGAATGTGACTTTTTAAAGTTAAGTTTTGTATGTTCTAAAATTAGTGCATTACTTTTCATTCTTAAAGTGCTCATCTTTGTGTAACACAGGACAAGAGGAAAATGGACAAGAGGAAACAGCCTCAAGTTGCACCAAGGGCAGTTGAGATTGGATGTGAGGAAGAATTTCTTTGCTGAAAGGGCTCTCAGGCATTGGAAGGGGTTGCCCAGGGCAGTGGTGGAGTCCCCATCCCTGGAGGGATTTAAAAGATGGTTAACTAAGTGCTTTGGGACATTCCACATAAAGGTGGAATTGTCAGTGTTGGATTTATGGTTGGACTTGATGATCTTAAAGGTCTTTTCCAATCCAGGCGATTCTGGGATTCTGAGGCTGTGGAAGGATGTGAGATGCTGTTTTCATCTGTCTGAGCAGGACTTGACAGCAACGGGTCTCTGTCCCGTTTAGCTTGAAAATTAAATGCTTAGAATGGATTGCAGAGATATGCTGTCAGAAAAATTGCCTCTACCAGGGCAGACACTGCTAACATGGCAGCTGCATGTTAACTTGGAGTTAGATTTTTGGAAGAAAAATGCTTTTATTCTGAGATGGCAGGTGCCGCTTGTGATTTTTTTTTTTTTTTTCTGGGATGGGAATGACCAGGGTTGAAGGCTGTTCAGTGGGGTAAGAGGGTGTTAAAAGAACAAGGGAGCTATAAAGTAAGTTAAGAGCGAGATAAGGAGTAG